AAAGCCGCTTTTAGATCGAGGAAAATAAAAATGGTGGGTCTACGAAAGGAGTGTCTATGTTCTAGAATTTGACGGAGTGTGAAGATGTGGTCAATACAGCCTCGACCAGGTCTGAAACCGGCCTGGTTCTCACGCGTACACCGTTCACGTGCGGCAGACAATCGACGGAGTATGATACCGGCGAGAAGTTTAGAGGCAATATTGATTAAACTAATTCCTCTGTGGTTTTCACAGGAGGATCTGTCACCTTTCTTGTAAATCGGTATGATCACCGATTCACACCATTCAGTTGGAACCTGTTCCTTTTCCCACACTGAGCCCAGGAGTTTTGTTAACTCCAAAACCAAGGCTGAGCCTCCATTCTTAAAAACGGATGGGGACAGCCCGTCGGAGCCGGAAACCTTATGCCGTTTGAGGTGATTTATTTCCCGGGTAACCTCCATTTGAGATGGAGGACTGATGTCAACTGGCAGTATTTGCACAGTTGAATCGAATGGGGGAACCAAGGGGACCAGCTAAACTGTGCCTTAAAATATTCTGCCCAACGTTCAAGACGACGTTCCTGAATTTGAATCAGTGTGCCGTCAGACTCCTTAATTACCTCACTTACGCCTGCCTTCCTTGGTCCTGTACTCCTAATTAAACGAAAAAGATTGCGACTATTACCAATAGCCGGAGCCTTCTCCATCTCCCCACACTTTCCTACACTTTCCTACCCACCACTTCTCGCAGTCATTCCTCAGATTCTTGATGAGTTGGCGTTTAAGGGATTTGCGCGCTTTGTCCTTTCTGGAATCCGAAAGAATGGCTTTGCAAGGCAACCGAGGTCGGGGAGACCCATCGTTTTTGACTTGACCGTGTACCAGAATTTGCCGTTGATTTGATCGAAATTTGGATCGCTTCCTTGATTGCCGTCCAGTGTTCACTGAGTGCTCCAGCTGATGGTCGAGTTGAGAGGGAATCTAATAGTTCCGCTTCGCACACCGATTTGCAACCGTCGCCGATACTGTATTGTGGACATCCGTTTTCGGTGGCTTTTCTGCGGTTATTTATCAGGCGTAGGGTGAATCTCGCTCGCAGCAGAGCATGGTCCGTGTCCACGGGTGTTGACCAGTAGGAGCGACAGTCTTCAGTGGATCATCTCCAGCGATGGCTGGTGGCTACGTGGTCGATTTGAGTCCAGCGCTGTGAAGCGGTTGGCGGTCTCCATGTAAGCCGGTGTCGTTTCTTGTGCGAGAAGTTGGCGCTCGACAGAAACACTCCGTGATCAGCGCAAAGTTGGAGTAGGAGTTCTCTACTGTCATTTTGGTTGGTTTCGATTGCAAGTAGCCTGTTTGATTCGTCCAGGGATCCCACTTGAGCATTGAAGCCTCCGGCGACTAATACGATGTCCGTCGACTGAGCACTTTGGAGCCGCAGAGAGAGGTCCTTGTAGAAATCATCCTTTATTTCTGGTGAACTGCAATCCGTCAGTGCATCCACCGATACGACGAATAAGCATCAACGCTCCGTTCTGTAGCTGTTGATCCTTACTGAACCATCCAGAGTTACAGCGCAAGGTCAGCTACTAACTGGAATCCAGTCAAGAAGCGAGCGCTCAGCCTTGACACTAAGCGCAATCCCAACGCCAGCAACACCGCGAGCTTCGGATGCCGAATCGCCTGATACATGAAGGGTGAAGCGTGAGGTTGAGGTTGGATCTGTAGAACGGAAGGAGATTATTGAAGTACGATCTTGTATGCTTGTTTCGGAGACACAAAATACATCTAAATGGAAGGTTTCAAGGGTTCTGGCTAAGGCGGCTTATTGACCGATCTGGTAGCGTGTGCGGACATTGAGTGCGGCTAAGTCGAAAGGAGATTTTGGTTTCAAAAATCTGATAGCCTCTGAGTGGTTGACCTTATTAGTTGAGCGCTGAGTGGTATGCGATGTGTCTCGTAAGCAGGAGGCACCTGGGAATATTCGGAATTGAGAAGAAGGACTAGACAGATGGGAAAGATGGTTTTCCAAATGGATACCCAAGACTTTAGGGCACGGCATACTTCGCGGTAGCCCACACCAACGAGGGGTTTTTTCATTGGGAACCCTAACCGGAGCCTTTGACTCAAAAGTCTGACCCATAAGGCAGTGGGGCGTAAATCCAACGCGGGAGAGTGAACGAAGCACCCGTGTGGGAGCTTCTAGAGACCTGTCACGCAAGGCCTTTGAATTCCGATTGATTGTGTTGTTCGTTGGTGCGTTGATTTTCAGTCCGCTTTTCGGGATCAGCCCTCAGCCTCATGTATATAATACGTTTGAAGCGAGACTATGTGCCAAACAGTGACAAAAAACAAACCGTTTTGTTCGAGGGATTCACCGGCGGTGATTTTCAATGAAACTCTTTAGACAGCCCATAGCGCTTGTTAGACAAATTTTCATTGCCCAATGAACAGGTTTCGAGTGCTCGCGCTTTATTTATACGGTTCCGTCTTTAAATGAACTTAGTTCCTCCATTGTACGACGGGGCATTGAAGCTATCTTCGTTCACCAATCTTCATTCTGCTTTTTTATCCAAATGAACGGCCAAAAGACAGCAACCAAAACCGGCACACGAAAGTGTATGGTTGATGGTTGTAAAAACTGAAACTGAACTGGATAAAACCGATGAATTTGTCCTTACAATTGGGGTCATTGCTATGCTGTCTGAGTATCTCGTGCATCAACCGAAAAAACTTGTGAGGATAATGGTAAAACCGACAGCCATAATATCCGGTTACTCCGACTGTAAAGAAAGAACGGAATTAAACCGCCGTAATAACAGCGCCCGCAGCTTGCATTTTGGATCTAGTTATCACTCCTCGGGCTGAAACAGCTTGTCTGGAAAAGGTGGAAGTCAGTGGTGATATATCGCTTTTGGGACCATATCTTTGTTCGACCTTTCTCCTCAACAATCGCGGTTAGCGCAGCGAACAGTTTACTCATCACACAAAAGAATCAGAATCAAAGTTAGGTTCGATCTGTGATGACAAAGCAGCATCAAGCAAGCTTCCAAATACTATTATTTCTCCTTTCATTCAAAATATGTGCAATTCACTTATCCAACTTTTTAACTTTATCTTTTTCAGTTAGAAGAATGATTACTACGGGATTTCTAACAGTTCCGGATTTACATAACCATTAGCTATGCACTTTCTTGTGGCGGTTTGGGTTGCCCATTCGGATGAGGGAGTAGAGGGATGATTGGAATGTTGAGAGCATTGTCAAGGTGAAAATAAAGAATTTACGCAGCGAAACGACTGAAACTTCAGCCCGAAACAAGGGATTAATTGGTAGGTCTCGAAAGCGATTAGGAGTCAGCTGATCGAAATACCATCAAGGTTCCGTGATATGTGTGGGCACGTGATAATGTCACACAACTGTAACATTCACTTCAGAAGTAAAATCAATGCGTGTCTCGTTGTCGAGATGTGATAGCACAGACAGATTCATAAACAAACGTAGGAATGTGAGCACGATGAACGAAAGTAGTGATGAGATGGAATAAACCGCCAATATGGAATCAAGCTTGACTAATCAGTTTGATGTGAAGGATAAACACATCGGACTATTTCGTGCTTACCAATATTCATTTCGGATATGTTCGAAGTAACCTCACCGACGGCAGTCACTTGCGCAGACTCGGGCATCACTGTGTTCGACAGTTGCAGATCCGGTTCATCTTCGCTATTGCTCAAGACAACCACGGAAGACGATCCTGAGGTGAAAAAATCGTCGGATTCCCCAATGGGTCGAGGCACCCCAACCAATTCCGAAGAAGTGGTGGGCTCAGACGGAGTCTGAGACAGATACAGGAGTGGACAAATGTTACTAATGTCAGTCAAAATGCACACATCCTATCAGTTCAGCGAAATTAGGGTTGTCACAGCTGCGAAAATCGTGGAAATCAGGTCAGTGATCAACCTGAAAAATAAAGCTGGCAAAAAACAGAAGAATCGGCTTTNCAATACACAGAGAAAAGTCAGCAAGATATTCTCATTGACGCTTATCCAGCATTCGGATTATCACTAGGGTCCTAAGATCTCCAGCACAGGGGGAAACGAGATCGATATACACCTGAGTGGCCTATTTGCAGGCTCTGAGATATCAGTCTTCATAGGCAATTACTGGATACCATATTGTATTTTGAGCGAACTAGAACTGGCTCAAAGGAAAGTGTTTCTGTACTTTCCTTAGTGCTAGAATTCGTGATCAGGCCATCACCGGTGTGGATTCAACCAAGGTAGTCGCTTCGCAACCTGCTGTGAACGGCAAATCGCACATAATTCCAACGAGGCGAGAATTTCTGGGTACTGAAAGTGCATGTTCTGCGGAGTTGAAGTTGTCATTCGGATCAGGACAAACTGCGGTTGTTGAACGGCAGTGTCTGTGGTAATATGGACTACACAGATAAAGTGCGATGTTGGTAATAAAATACAGTTTAGCGACGAAACCGAATTGCCATCTTAAACATGAATGGTTCAATTTTTTTAGTGGACTAGGGATTGACCAAACACCAATGACACCTTAGGAAACAGCAAAAGGTTTCAAAGACGAATAACCAAACGTCAAATGTTCAACCTACTGGGAAATTCAACACCGGTTTAGCCTGCTCCACCTCAACAACTGTAGTAGTGGCAACGGACGATTCTTGGTCAGGCATAGGATGTACCAGGGATTCTGAACCGTGAAGATGAACGTCGTTTATGTTTGACCCGCTGCGCTTCTTCACCCGTTTACGTCGGGACTTGCCGGTAGATTTGCTTCCTTTTGCATGTGCAGCCGCATGGGTTTCAAGCAGTTTCACAGCTGATGCTTGCAACTCGGAATCCGTCGAGTTGGCGGTTTCGGTCGGTAAAGGTTGCGAAAATGGGATTGTTGGGCCTTGAGTGATTTTTGATTCGACACTGTCTTCCGCATCTGAATCACCTACTTGCAACAAGTAAACAGAAAGAGAAAGGTAAACGTTACTCGATTGAATACTTCATTAGCAAATCAATCAACACCAGTGAGTGTTAGTTTGAAAATTTTTACACAAAACAAAGACTTGTAATGGTCGCATGCTTCAAAAGAGTTTGACGAGACCCTTGGTACTACAGTGGAGTCATCTACGGAAAAGTTAAGGCAATTTTACGAGTAATACCGGTGGTTCTTTTAAAATTACAGAGATCGAACAGAATCTGCAAAATGTGGGCTGAAGGGAAAGCGAGAACTTAACTTGCAATGGAGACATGTGAAATAGGTAACCTTTCATCGTTTTATAGACTATCGTGGTTATTACGCTTCGGAGCACCTTTAAGATGTTTCTAGTTCGGCGGTACTAACGAATTTAGGCCCTCATAAAATGTCTGACTTGTGTGATGATTTACTTTGATCGTTAGGGAAAAGTGACGGGGTCAAGCTAACATGTGGCAGGTGTTCCATATGGAACAGAAGCAACTATGTAGTATTGTACCGAACGAGGAATTACGATTAGACAGAAATTGAGCTAATAAGCCTCATCGCATACGAATAAGTGACCAAACAACTAAACTATATACTCCAAGAAGCAAAGCAGAAGGAAGAGCATAAGCAGGATAAATAATAGTTGTTGTTTAACTGACCACCCGAAGGAAGTCGTCACAAACGTTGCCATTGGAGTTAAGCAAGCTTGGAGAAAACGTCACGTTTGAAAATTCATGTTCCGGAATAAACCTCGAAACCCTAAATATTGTCATTGTGATGATGACAATAATGACGATAATACACGATAAAAACGATCGCAGTACCCGGCGGATTCGGTGTGTCCCAGTTTCACAAACCTCCGCTGACATTTTGTAGTACAGTATCACTCAAAAGAAACATGAGTACAATCTCAATGGAAGAGCACACAGTGCATACCGCATAAGGAAGTATAAAACTATGAGGTATACACAACAGTGATGGACCGAGGATATAAATGGGCACCAACGGACGACGAACGTGATATCAACCACGAAACAGGTCTGGACAGAGTGAGTGCCTCGGTAGCCAACGTAATTGCCCAGCTTCAAATGCACGATCACAGCACAGTAAAGCGTGCTCACTAGCTCTGGTAACCTTCTCCTAGCTGTCCGAAGTGAGAAGAAAAACAGTGGATAGAAAAACCTGTACTCGACTCCAGAAGTGTGTCCAATGGATAGCTTAGACATTTCTGTTTAGATACTGTTTCGGTCATGGGCCTGGAGGGCTTGGCAACGGATGCAAAAAATGAAGGGGTTGACAGAATTGACTAATCCGGACATAGAAAATGAAGGTGAACAGATCGTTCAAAACAGCATGAAAAATGCTAAATTGTAAGAGGTAGTATAATCACATGATCTATTACGCTTCACCAATGTGAGCTACATAGCTCGAGCTGTTTCATAAAACGTACTAATAGCATTTCAAACTCAGAGCTAATACAATACCGAGAAAGCCATGATACTCCTTTGAAGCCACTTCATATAATATGAGGTGTTATCAAGTTGTTGAATCGACTGGTTCTCAAATTACGGATAGTCAATGGACGCTCCATAGGGAAAAACAACCTACGAAACTGGTTTCAGATATCTTCTGCCCATAGTTTATCTGTAAAAGTTGCATAGCAGCAAAGTTGTACGGTGGTGGTAAGGTCCAAACCTAGAACTATAGGGCCCGGGGCAAGCCAGTGATAGCGACTTAAACCGCTTCATGAATCCTCCTTACATTTTTCATGCCTCACCTAGAAAATCGCCTAAAACTAAAATAAACTCGTTCAGATTTCAACAGGAAACTGTCGACGAAGACAATCGTATTGTCTGATCAGGTTTATCGACCGGATTGAGAAAACAGCAGGTGGTATTCATTGATCATTTTTCTAGAAAGGAAACATTTCTTACCAAACCAATCGTTCGTTTCATCGCGATTCGCTCCATCGGCCTGGTCCACGGACTCCGAAGATCGGTCAGCAGTACCTATTCCACCTGTTGCTTTCAATGTGGTAGTGGAAGCGACTCGGGCAGCCAATTTCTGTCTGCGACGCTCGGTCACATCCAACAACCAAACATGATAGTAATATCGAGACCAGAAATCAGCGTCCGTCAGACCTTTACCACTTAGTTGACCGTCCACCCGTACCAACTGAGTTAGATAGGTACGCATGAATGGATATTTGTCCAGCAGCTCCTCAGGACTGGGATGTGGTGGTTCTAATAACGCGTCATCCGGTTGGTCGTCGTTCGCAGGATTTCTTGCTCCGCACAAGGGAATTCCTGGTCGCGGTTGACAAGTCGTTTCGTCAAAATAGGCCGCACGCCAGTCAGCATAGCTGTGCACGCCTAAATGTGCTGGTGGTGTCGCTGGCTCACGTTCGTATGTTGCCGGGTCTGCGCGAATTATTTGGAGACGTGCCTGAAAAAATCGCAGTAGCAAATAACAACTAAGAGTAGGCAGTCAGCAACCTAGCAAGCAAATAAATCACGTCCATACCGATGTAACTTCCTGATCACTAAGTAATAAAACATGAAGAATGAACGAGTCACTAAATACAAACTAACGCGTAAGAATTCTGCACCTTCCGAGCATTACTGATATGTATATCATGCATGCCCCGGTCAGGTGCGGCAGACAATCGACGGAGTACAGTACCAGCGAAAAGTTTAGAGGCAATGTTGATCAAACTAAATCCTCTGTGGTTTTCACAAGAGGGTCTGTCACCTATTTTGTAAATCTGTAAGACGACCAATTCGCAAACATTCAGTTTGAACACTGAGCCCAGGGTTCTCGTCAACTCCAAGAGCAGGGCTGCACTCCTATTCTTGAAAACCGATGAAGACAGCCGGTCCGAATCGGAGGCATTATTTCTTTTGATGTAACTGATTTCCCGGGAAACTTCCAAGTTAAATGGTGGACGAATGTCAAATGGCAGTAGTCGCCCATGTGAGATAAGGATTGACCGGTCTAGTACCGATAGGGGCCAGTTGAACTGAGCCTCGAAATGTTCTGCCCATCGTTCAAGATGGCCTACTGACTGAAACAATGTCGTCAAACTCATTGATTACGTCACTTAAACCTACCTTCCTTGAGCCCGTACTCCTAATTCAACGAAAACGATTGCGATTATTCCCGACAGCCGAAGCCTTCTTCATCCCTCCACTTCCTTATCCATCACTTCTCGACAAGAGCGGAGCTGTATGTTACCGAGCGTGTCCCCACTTCGCGGATATGGGAACGGTCGCTAACTCGCGGTTAATCGTGAATAAGGTGGGTTTATTCTCACTGAATATGCGGTCGCGGACGATCAGCGGCAGTGCCCGAGGATGCGGTGGGCTTACCACTTGGCAAGGGTTCTCCACATAAAACACCACATTTATCTTATGACAGCGCTTTGACGAGGTAAGTATGGCCCGATAGTGAAAACGCCACTGCCGCCTTGTCTAATTTCATCTAACCGACAAGGCCTTCCAGAGAAGGCGAATGAACCAACCGACCGGTTGCCGGCTCATCTGGAATAATACTGATGCGTTGTAGCTCACGCTTGGATGCGCAACGGCTAGAGTGCACACTCAAACAAGGCCTACTCTGGACTGGGCGACCCAGCAGTACAACAACCCGCAATACAAACAAAAATGAACCTTACTCTAGCATTCATATCTTCTGCTAAAATCCTGACATCAGCCTAGTTCACTTTTTTATGACACACCTAAGTGTGATGAACAGCAGACCGGGTAAACCCCATAGTCACGAGGACCCGCTGTTCAATGATGGAAACTGGCAACCTAAGCCCCGAGACTTGGAGTGGCGAACCACTTAAGTCCCCACTAGGTTAGGCGTGGTATTGAACTGGACGACAGCAAAGCTACCTACCACCAAAGTTCGGTGGTGGTGGCGAGGCTCAAACCTCGGATTATAAAGTCCAAAGCATGTCGGTAGCAGTGACTAAACCACTGCGCCACCACTACTCAAGAGGTCGTGTAGATTTTGGTAAAATTCGTCTTTGACTGGATCTGGTCTACAGTACGTAAGTGCGCACGCTGAGACGACAAACAAGTTGCGTCTTTCGGAGCGACGACTATTTACCTTGAATGAGCCTCTAAGTCTCACTGCGAATAACCTACTGTCGACTGGGATCCAATCTAGGAGCGCAGCTTCAGCTCTCTCACTGAGAGCCAAGCGAACAATATCAAGACCAGAAACCGCAGTCTCAGGGTCCCCAGAAAGACGTAAGTGAAACTTCGCGGATGGGTTTGACGGGGACGTCAGTCAGATGGTGGAACTAGAGTCTTAAATGTAAAGTTTTTGGGTACAACACACATCGATGGCTAGGATCTCAGGGGTACGAGCTTTATATGCCGGTTGTTCTATACGCATCAGGGTAAGCACGTTAAATGTGGCTAGTTTGAACAGGCATCGGGGAGGAAGAAGAGCTTCAACTGGTGGAGAAGGATTCGGTGAGACTTGGACAATATTCGAGGCAGGCAGCGAGAGAATAGGGACGGAATTACCATCGGAGGCACAACTGGTAGTACGACTGTCTGAAGATCCTGATGACAATGGGAATGCTTTAGGCGGGTGAATGTGAGGTGGAGAAAAAACTGGAAAACAAGATGTGCATTGTAGGAAGCGATCTCCTATGAGAGAGGAAAACTGAAAGAACGAATTGCTGCTTAAGCTGAGGTTCATTTTTTGTTTGCATTGTGGGCTATTGTACCGCTCGATCGCCGAGTCCAGAGTGCGAGGAGGAGATGAGGGGATGCTCCAAATCTAAAGTCACATTGACTGATTGCGAGCATCTGACAAATAACAGAGCGAAAAGTGGTAGGTTAAAGGCAACCATAAAACCACGGCTGAAACAAGGGAAACCGTAAAGCCTTTCATTGGTCTAGCGTATTTTCAATCTTCAAAATGCACCAATATTAGGACTAAAACTGAAGGGAAAGGGTAAGAAAAGATTGGGAAAAAGTCTACCTCACGCCGATCTCTGCTTCCTCTCGTCTGTTGCTCGTCATCCGCGCCGAATAAGGAAGACACAAATCCGGTGAATAGGTGCGAGACATCTGAGCGTATTGAAGACAGTGAAGGTAATTCGGACAGGTTTGGAGGTGTGGCAACTTTATCTTCGGGTGCTGGGAAGAGCAGTTAAAACAGATTATCATATACCGAAGCGCTGTATAATTACTCATGAATTCCGAAAATCCGTAAATTATTCAATTCAAAGGAACCCGGAATGCGAAATTTGAATCAGCCCCTCTAGCATTCCATTTAGTTAGTTAGCATTACTCAGAAATTAATTTGCATGTTCAAAAGTTATCGTAAAAGATTAAAGGCAAAACTGTGCACCGAGTAGACTCGGTGGAGGTTGATGTTCGAGTAGCTTAATTTACTTGTACTGGTGCATTGGTGTGCTCGTGTGTATGTGTAAGGTTGGGAATTGGAACCTTGCCATGCACACTCTCAAGCACAATAACGATATTTACAGACACATTGGAATCTTGGGTGGTTTGTCAGACTAGGTTTAAAGATCTGGGTTACCAGTTCCCAGGACCAAGCGGGTAGACTCGGTCAATTCGAATGAATTCCTCGTGCCTACAGTGTGCCACACGAGGGTTTGTATGGATGCTTTTAGTAACCTAAGAAACCAAAAAGAAAACAACACTTCAGCGTATCAAGTCCACATGTGATAACTGAACACGGCAGATGCACGAATATCATTGATTGTTGAATCAGAAACCAATCACTCGATTGCAATTTAGAAATGACCCATCAACCACTTCAGCCAATTGCCCCAGTTTCACTTGCTCATCACCTATCTCTCCGAAAGCCTCAGTATGGTTGGGGGTGCGTGTCTGGGATTGAGACTGGTCATCATTCCCTTACACCTCGCGAAATGCTCTTATATGACCAAGCGTATCAAATAGCCTCCGTTGAGGAAGCCCTATTCACTGCCTTCTCGTGGAGGAGGTGTTTTCCCAACAAAGTGAGAGAACGAAAAGCCGACATCCGGCGCTATAACCGAGTTGGTGAACCATTGGCAGTTCACCCGGGGGAGTTGGCTAAAAACCCTGATTCCAAACCAACCAAGAAGAGGCGTAAGAACCATACGCACTTTCATGGTCGCGGCAGTGGTCATCGGCTCGATTGGGCATCAAGGTGTATTTGGCAACTTGGACGTTTGACCTAGTCAGAAGGGCGTATGATTCAGTGGACACCGGCTCCCAATGGACTGCGGACTCTGAGCTTCGTCCTGTTGTCTTGCAGGTCTGGCTTTCTAGCCAAAAGGTTTTGGATGGGGACCCCGAGGCTATCCCCCTTCCTCGGACAGGGCAACCGGCCCACACAACCTATGAACACATTCTTCAGATTTCTTTTTGTTCATATATTGAGGCACATTTGCCAGTTCTCTGTAATTGGTTTCGTGTTGAAATAATATCTCTCCCTTTCACCCTAGTCTCACAGTGCACCATAATGTCGATGAGGATTCACCACCGGTTATAATTATCGATAGCTTTCCTTCCGTGAACTACCATTTCCGAAGTTTTACAATCTACCAAACGTGACAATCTTAACAATTATACTGATGAACCACATTGGACTTTCAGTCTCAGAAAGGTCAATCAAAGTGAGTAAATGATAAAAACAGCACACCTTAACGACCATCAGTAAAACAAACGAAGGGGCACTGCAACTAGAAATCAAGAACAATAAAACCAAAACTTGTCTGGATGAATACCGGTACATAAACGATTAAACATGAGCACCAAAGCATCTATAATTAAAAGATAGAGAATTAAGTGATTATTCAGGAAATATTAGTCTGTATTTTATGATCGCTACAAATTTTAAGAAGAAAGGCAATTTATAGCCATAAATCCATTGTGGGTGAGAAACCTTTGGCACCTCCCGCTCCTCCCTTTTCCACTCAATTCGGAATCTCACATCTTCCAGAATGGTCTTCTATATTAAACCTTTCGCTGTCATCTTAATTGTAAATGTAACTTTTGTAGGCGTCAGTCAACGGACAAATTCCAATGTGTTGATGTTTGATTTTCCTTCTGTAGGAGTAAAATATACTCTGATTCACCTCATCAGTGAAGTGGCCACTTTACAATCACTGATGATATCACCTCGGCTGGTGATGAAACGTTTGCAAACAAATTGCCAAGCTCAGCGAACAGGCGAAAGGAAATTCAGTTCACCCAAGCTACGAGAACCAATTTTCAACATTTTGTCAATGTTAAAGCAAATATGCAAGCACCGAAAACCACCGTAGCTCCTAATGCCCAGCGTTTTTGTCACCAGAACTGTATTTTTCGTGATTTATCCACGGCATTAAGTGAACTTGGTACTTTTAATGCAGCTAATGACCCGTACGTCTCTTTTATCCTTTGGGTATTTGGTAGCTGAATTCGCACCTAGAAGTGTTCTGAGAAAATTTCTTCATTGAACGCTATGCTCTTTAGGAATGAGTCAAGGCGACGTTTCCTAACTCTCCGGCCTGAACTCATTGCATGCAAATTTACGCGAAATAAGAAAATAATGCCTTGTGCTCAGTTTGACCATTAAACTACCAATGTGACTCTCTAAGCATCTTACCCAAACGGTTTTCTTGATCTCCACTAGTTTCTGGTAGTAAGGAAAATTCGCTCGGGTCCAGTTTCAACGCAGCATCCGCCATAGCCGTAATACGCTGACGTACCGATGAAGCTGTGCGACTCACCGTATCACGAGGTTCTTTGGAAACGACGCTAACTACCTCACCGAAATCCTGTTTCATCTGATTCCAAACCTGTGTATTGGAGAGAAGAGAAACAGGGAAAGCACGAAAATGAGGAGGAAAACGTAGCTTGTAGTCGTTTAACATGCACAGCAAGCTTGTTGATCATCACTTTCCAAAAACAGATAACAACTGAAAAACAGAATCCTTGGCTTGAAAGTGAGACTCGCAAGGTACCGGGGATTTCAGGAATTCAGATGTGCATGTCTCTTGTGTGGGTCTAGTAGCAAAGTAGTTATCAATCCCAATAAAAAGTGCCAGCTAAGCTGGATACGGTAACAATGGATGAACGGCGCATTTTTAACGTACTGAGTCAAAGCTTTGACCATGAGGTGAATCTACACATTGCATTCAGATTTGTGTGCCGTGATCCGATAGCAATCGTTGCAGTGATTAAAAAGGCAACCGACCAAAGGCGTTTAGTTCATTCACTTTAATGGCCAAAGATTGAACAGGGCGAATAAATACACCGTACAGTTACCAAGGCCATCACGACGAGACTGCACCTTGACGTGGTGTGATGGCTTGCGCGCCTCACTGACCCTGCGAGCTACACAGGATGGCTTCTCACAGCCG